TACTCTGCTTCCGAGTAAAGGATCAAAATTCATGCCCAGTGCAAACACAGCAGTCGGCAAATGATAGATATTCTCGTCATTTCTTCAGCAAAACTCATATCTTGTACTGTCGGGATATTTTGACGCAACGAACACCAACCAAATAAATGCAAGAAACAAAGACTTTCTTACAATGCTACTAGTCGCTCAGCTAGCAAATATATTCCCCACCCTTAATGAACCCTGAAGATTAATTACTGTATTTACAAGAGCCTGCCAATTGTCCCTACACTGACACATTAATCAAGCCACGGTGGTCTAGCGGCTAGAACGCTGGCCTTGTAATCCTGGGGTCTCGGGTTCGATTCCCGGCGGCGCCCGAATTTATAACTTGTGTTGGGCAAGGCCGTGGACTAGGCAACACGGAGTTTTCCTCCGTGGCATCCCAACAATTACTCCATTCACACACAGAAGAAGGCAATGGCAAACCACTTCTGGATCATCTGCCAAGAACGTATATGAACAGGTCCCAGTCCGAGAAAAGGATGGAAGGATCCTGTTCATATGGACCTGTCGTCAGACAGAACACTAAATAAATAAATACTCCCACAGTGTTTCCTGGCCAGCCATCTATGTTTAGGTCGTCCTTTTGGGTTTCCCCACAAAATTTTATATGCATTTCTTCAATACATGGTACATGCCCAGCGCGTCTCATTTCACTTCAATGACTTATGCATAACTCGCAACATATTGAGTCGTAGTTAAATAACTCTGAGTTCAATTCCGGGTATGTTCAAAAGTTCCGCTTGGTTGTTTCTTAATCACACTTGAAGAGAAATGAACAGTTTATATGACTAACTGTTTTTTTTGTACAAGTCTGAATCTTAGTTGCCCTAATTAAGGAAAGAACACACATTGACGATGTTTGAAAACAGAACATTTATGAGAACACGCGGGCCCACGAGGGAAGAAGTTACAAAAGGCAGAATAGAACTTCATAATGTGGAGTTCAAAACATTTCACTCATCACAAAACATTACATAACCATGATCAAATCAGAAAGGTTTAGGTAGGCGAGACACGTAACACGTACGGACGAGATGAAAACGCACACAAAATTTTTGTCGGAAATACTGAAAGGAAGAGACCGCATTCAAGAACTAGAAATAGCTGAGAGAATAATACTAAAATGGATGTTAAACATGGTGGTAGTGTGTGTGGACTAAATGTGCTCAGGATACACTGGCGAGCTCTTGCGATTACAATGATGAACTAACGGTTTCGATAAAAGTCGGGAAATTTCTTGACAAGCTGAACAACTGTTAACTTCTCAATAATAACCCTTGCCTATTGAATTAGTCGCTAAGCATTTACAAAATTTAATCTGAAACATTCAATATCTATTCTGTTTGTAAAAACATTTTAGGTCTTCGTTCTTATCGACCGATGTGACTTTGGGCTTTTTAATTTTTGTAGGTGCAGATTATTACATGTAATCAGATTGACTTCCTTCCAAATTTTATGTACATCTTTGTTAACCCGACGTAATTACATCCATGTAGCTCTAAAAACTAAAGTACCTTTTCTACAGTATAAAATCGTGGCTTTAACTGACGTTCTTCAGACGAGGAGATATTTTGTTACTGTCTTAAAAGTCGTAACAAGAGGGCTCATATGATGTCGTTTCTTCCCATAATTATGTGGTACCATAATCACGAATGACCGAGGTAATTATTATGGAGCTTCGATGTAACATTTTATTTTATGGATTCGGATGCAGATAATTAAGGCTGCTGTTGGCAGCACTGCTTTGCGGATCATGTACCCTTCCTTTCAACAGGAGTGCCAGTCAATTTCACGGTAACTGCGTTCGACCAAAGTCATCCAGTTACGCCATAATTCCATATCTGAGTCTCGAGGTGATACTTTATGTGGAAATTCGTTCAAGAATCCTACTTTCTCTTCCGTTCACTGAATTTCGATGCGTCTCCGGTTATTTTCCACGATTTGTAAAAAGACGGATAAACAAAAATACAAAATGACCACTCTTTGTTAACTAACAGAAGAAAATAAAAACTTATTTTGCTACTAACGTAAGATTATAAGGCCATCTCTATATTCCATGTTCTATGCACTAGATGTCACATGTCTTTATAAGAATTTTGAAGTATTCAACCCTCAAGATGGAGGCAGCACGTTCCTCCGAAACGTTAGTATCTACCTACAAGTCTACACGACCTTATTACCATCATGGGATTACGGATGGACAAGAGAGCTGTGATAAACTAAATAACAAATCGCGGACAGCCGATAAGAGGTGGTCCTCCAGCTTGGTGGTTTAACGAAGGACTAAGAACATTTCACTGCAAATTCTACTGTGTTTAAAAACTGTTACAAAGGCTCTCGGATTTGAAGGAGTCTTTAGATGGAAGACGTATTACGGTATGTTTAATGGAGGATGTGATAAGTAGGAATGTAGCACGCAAGGGAGATGAGAAATTGACACTGACCTTGAAACGGGTTGATACCCCGTCAAGCGACTCCTACAAAATATATAAAACAATTAACATATTCAGAAGTTGATTTTTAGTTGTCCTATGTCTAGCGGTTAGAACGCTGGCCTTGTAATCCTGGGGTCTCGGGTTCGATTCCCGGCGGTGCCCGAATTTATAACTTGTGTTGGGCAAGGCCGTGGTCTAGGCAACACGGAGGCTTCCCCGGTTATAGATGACTAATTTTCAATTGCAGGGAAGTCGAAAAGCTCCGAATCGACGTTTCGTTTCCCATTCCACGTCTAGGAAGCCAACGTCGAATTCGAAGAAAGCCGAACTCTCCTTCATAAATCGAATAACAACAATCTTCTCCTATTCAAACGACTACATCTCCTTATATCAAACCCTAATTACATCTGTTCAAGCTAAAACTTGTTAAGACTGGAGCGATAGCTCGTCTCAGCGGAGGGTGACAATAATTCAATTGTACGCGTTCACAGTTTCGAATTGGATTAGCGAGGGGAATCCATACATGTCTGTTATTGCAGGATCGAATCCAACAATCAAAAGTTATATCGACTGTGTAAGGTAAGAAAACATTTCATTAGCGATCTATACAGCACTGATCCAAAAGCGACTGATGATGTTTCATTCAAATTATATCATTGTAGACTACGTACAATAAAAATCTTACGATGAAATTTAAATATAACGAAATGACAACTCGATTATTTTTACCGCTTAAATCCGTATATGCAACTACAGCTTTGATAATCAATAACTCTTCATTTTTTTCCTCGAGAGTGCATTTAAGGGTTTCTTATGATTCTCAGAACAAATAGTAATAACTTCCTTAAACAACACTTGCTAATTGATCTCTGTAATGGAGACTTGTCGTGTTTTCTTGCTGGTAGGAACTGAATGTTTAAATATTATTTCTATGATTTTCGTTCTTAAAAGGACTAATTGAGTAGACCTATCGTTTTCCACTTAGTTTCCAACTTCCTGTATTTGAACTACTAACAGACGTACGTAAGAGGCAGTTCTGAAGTGTCGAGTCATACAGGTATAAAGTGTTTCAAAATATTATTCCTATTTTAATTTCTTAAACATAATCAAATAAATATTACTGACTCTACAAATCAAAATCCATATTTAATATCACGAACAACTTCGGATTATACTTTGAAGGCTGGCACCAACGAACCCGCTAAGAGTCTACACAGCGTTATAATCCAGACGACAATTGTCATTCGTGAGAGCCTTAAATATCACAAATAAAATCATGTTTTAAGGCGTTTACAACTGTGTAACACAACCTATTTGCTACCATGATACAGGTTTACAATAGAATTAATTGCATCAGTAATTTAGAGAAGTAGAAAAATATGAAAGAACATTATCATCTCAAATTGAAATGTAGTATCTGTTTGTAAATCGATAAGGTCGAAAATCGAAGAACATGACATAAGCGAGGCATTTAGCGAGCTTATACGCAATTTTAGTCATAGACGCGAGGAATTTAGACCACTTAAGAGTATCTAGACGTAATAAGAATATAATAATAATAAATATACGGGATTATAATCCGCACTGGATACATCGAACTCAGGATGGGGTCCAGTGGTTGTCTCCTGAACAAGCTCACGAAACTTTGGATTCTAGATAGGAGATTTCTTGACTAAATGAGCGACTAATAGCTTCTCAAGGACACTATCCAATCGAGTTACATTCTGGACATTCTCATCGTGTTTAAACTTCTGGTTTCTTGTCGACTTTTTTAGCGGAAAAAAACATGTAGATGGTAAATCGAGTTAAAATTTCAGTCCAGAGACCAGTTATCCGGACTGTTTTCCTTAGTTTTATTCAGTTTCTCCAAAAGGCCGAGACAGCACTTTAAATTAGGCCACGACTGATTCCTTATCTTTTCAAATTCATTAATCACTGTACCATTTAACGATGTATACTCGGAGTTATGAGCCGGGATAGCTCAGTCAGTATAGTGACTAGCTACGGGCTGGACGGCCGGGGTTCGATCCCCGAGGGGGGGGAAGAGGATTTTTCCTCTAGCCTCTGCATCCAGACTGGCTCTGGGGCCCACCCAGCCTCCTCTACAATGGGTATCGGGGTCCTTTCCCGGGGGTAAAGCCGGCCGGGGCGTGATGCTGACCACTCACCCCCATCTAGTGCCGAGGTCAAGGAAGAGAGGAGCTATACCTCCTCTCACCCCAAACGCCTACATGGCGTATAGTGGGACAAACTCATACTCGGAGTTACTGACAGCGTCGTTAAATAAACTCCAAGTAAGAAGTGTCCGAAGGCAGATGTTCCGTGAAGGATGTGGCCAGCTCTCGGAATGCGTGTTTTGAATACTTCAGTACGTAAAACAGTCAGGGAACACACTTTATGGGCAGGTGGCTGATTAATAAACGGTCCCTCAGGTTAATTCTCTAGTCTTGGAGTAATAATACACATGTCTGACGGACGTGACCAAACTTGGAGTGACTTCTGCCAGTCTATTTGTTTCAGGAATCGGGTACGCGATTTGTCTCATCGACATCTATATGGGGATGTATTATAACACCATCATCGGCTGGGCAGTGTACTACTTGTTCGCGTCGTTCAACTCCCAGTTACCATGGATGACCTGCGACAATCCATGGAACACGATCGACTGCACACCTGTCCTCCAGCCTCGTAACAACAGGTCCACCAGCCCCGCCAAGGAGTTCTTCGAGTGAGTACCACTGTTATAACCAGGGCTGTGGAGTCGGTAAAAATGTACCGACTCAGACTCCGACCTCGATATAAAATCTTAAGAACAATTTCTATACCGTGTAATCTGCCGTCGGCCTCTCGCTTACACAAATTATATTTTGAAATGTTAAAATTTCCTTATTTGGAACATATTTATAGCATTCCAGATTTCATTACTTGCATATTTTATTTGTATGGACGTGTCTTAGAAGATAATAACAAATATTGTTTAGGATGTCTGAGAAACTTCGATTCACGACACCTAAAGAAATAGACCACAAAATTGGCAAATGAGGTCAATGAACAATAATGTTCTCCTGGCACTGTAATGGAAGTTTCCATCTAAATAAACCTCCCATAACTTCTGTAACGAGCGGAGGCACGTAAAATGTAAACAACAAAAGTTTCGAGAATGCTGAGGGCATGCGTAGTTATAAGACTATAGAAACTTTGTTTGAGGGGGGGGGGGGGGAAATGCCACTTGTTGACAGAGACGTCACCCTCCATTAACTTCTGGGCGACAAACTCCCTCTAAAGTTTAATCGAGAGCGCCCTCTGCGTCATCACACACGAACTAAACGCTTAATCCTGCGTCAAAATATTATTTAAATAAAATGTATTTTCCCAGTCATTACAAAAGCGTGACATTTTATTTGCAACACACAAAAGAAAAACACGTAAAGAGGCAGAAGTCAGTATGGCAAAAGACTTCACGGTTCACTTCCACGGTTGTTTTTACTTCCATCTTCAGGATTTTGGCCGGTGGTCTAGCGGTTAGAACGCTGGCCTTGTAATCCTGGGGTCTCGGGTTCGATTCCCGGCGGTGCCCGAATTTATAACTTGTGTTGGGCAAGGCCGTGGTCTAGGCAACCCGGAGTTTTCTTCCGTGGCATCCCAACAATTACTCCCTTCACACACAGAAGAAGGCAATGGCAACCCACTTCTGGATCATCTGCCAAGAACGTATATGAACAGGTCCCAGTCCGAGAAAAGGATGGAAGGATCCTGTTCATATGGACCTGTCGTCAGACAGAACACTAATAATAAAAAAAAAATGCCGGAAACAAACTAATTTTTCTGCTAGCGACTTGTACCTAGTTGATGTTTCCCGATCACTGAACAAAATTGTCGTACGTCTTATGTTTCAGACGGAGTGTGTTGGAGCAACACAGAGCCGACGGGCTAGACAGAATGGGCCCTGTTAAGTGGTCACTGGCCCTGTGCGTCTTAGCTGTTTTTCTGCTCGTCTATTTCTCCTTGTGGAAGGGAGTAAGAAGCACAGGAAAGGTGAGACAAAAATTCTGCAAGTATCTCTTCGTTTACACCATGCGTAATACGTGTCCTGCCAGTATCACGCTTTTTAAGACTCAAAAATCAGTCAACGTAAGATGATTTAATTCTTACAACTGAATACAGAGGTGTGTTAACTTCCTCTCATTGGAAAGATCTACATTTGAAAACGTCGCTTGGCAGGCATTTTTGTAATTAAACTGTTACGAAATTAAATAAAATATGTTAACAACACACCTCGTGTTTAGGAGTACAGTCATTTTAAGTGCATTTCAGAGAGACACTACGGTACAATAAAGTAATTAAACGCTCAAAGTAAAGGACCTTTTGCCGGAACATTTAATTAATGTATTTGGTAAAATTTTGATTTCCAACTGAGTTACATTAAAGGGTAATTTAATGGAGTACTTCCTGAAAATTTATTCAGTTTATTAGCCACCTTAATAATGTCTCAATAGCAACTTTGTATTTAATTCAGCTACAAAGCGTAAGTACGCCATGATTCTTGGCTTACTTAACACTGCTGTACTATCACTTGGAAAACGCCTAACTACATAAAATGAGAGAGACGGTGCTATGTATGATGATGGCTTTCTAAATTAAATCGTTTCCATACTACGAAATAACGGTGACCATAGGTCACTTTTGCACTACAGTACCGAGTAATCAGATCACAGACAAATAGATGACACTGTACCAAAGGATTTTATATTTAAGATAAATATTTTACATGATTCTAGTATCACGGAACTAAATTTATGTAGGTAATGGAGTAATCATGCATAATTCATCATGAGAAACGAGACTATTTTATAAATCAGACTTAGAAAGAAATGTAAAATTTGAAAACTATGTCTTCCCCCCCCTCCCGTCCTAGTCGTACGCGTGCCCAGGTACTACAGACACAATGTAATCAAAATACTGGCTTCCTAACAGAGAAACAGCGTTTAGGACACCCCTAACGTAAGCATAAAGCTGCACTATGCTAATGTATATACTTGTCAGAAACTCAGGCAAACCTTAGAGCTCACTTCCATATTAACCAGTTGGAATATTTCAACTTGAGACCGAGTTTTCGCCTCCCTCCAGTTGAACTTGCTGTTTACTTACACAAAACTTATACAGAGGTCTACGAGACTGGGGTGTTCTCTGGCAAACAGCAAAGCCTCGGTTCGTGGAAATGGTTTCAGTATTCTAGTATGGCGTAACTTAGCACTGAAGAAGTTAGATGCAGTTCTGAATTCATGTTTATCTGCTGTTTCTGGAATGCTGTACATTATAATGTTAACGATAGAATTACTTTGGACGTGTTCCAGAACATAATGATGTTGAAGATAAAAATAATTAAAAATAAATTTTTGGTGAAAATTAAATTTTAAAAAAAAACTTTATAAATCGCTAGGTACTGATCATATTTCCGCGGAAATGATCCAGGCTGGAAATAAAACATTACCTTAGCTGAAACTCCACATTAATTCATCCTCTTAAGAATGAAGAATGTTCACTGTAGTTGAATACATTTTATTACTCTAAGGTACCTATTTGTAAAGATGAATTATCGAACATATTTTAAACTTCCTGTCAAATATTATGGAAAAATCTGAGGTAGTAAACATACAGTTATATTATTCCATAAAGCCCAAAATTCCTTAATAACATCACCATGACAACGAGTATAACACGCGTATTCATAAATATATCCCAAAAGCCAAAAAATATCGAAACAGTATTACCATATTTTGAGAACGGTTATAAAAATAACATTCATAAATATTATTGCACAACGCTAAAAATCACTTAACAACAAACGATCACTTACCAACCAGAGCTCCAAGCCAACACCTGACTCTTACGTAGACAATTTTCACTGTTATCTACTTCATAAGAATTGTATCCAACATTTCTCCTTGTTCCTTATTCTCGCGGCGGTAAGTATAACGATGAGTTTTCTCCAAGAAGCTTGCCGACGCTTCGGAGGTAGTTATTGCTCCCATCATCAGGGCGATGACTCCCTCATGACGGAGGCAGCGAAAACTTCTGAAACACCGGTGAACTAAACGGCTGAACATCCCAGTAGACATTGTATGATCTTCAATCTCAAGTTCAAAACTTCGTGAATCAAATACGGATAAAAATAATTGCAGTTGCTACTGTATGAGACTTATCCCGGGCATAATACGGTAAAAACTTTCCCAAACCCAGGGAGATAATCACTGCATAATTCAAAATCTGTTTCGACAAACAATATCAACCTTTCCGAAAGACCCGAATTCGAAATTCGCCTTGTATGACTTACACCTTCGTGGTTTTCCTCAGTCCCTCCACATCGCTTCCTCTTGAGTTCACAATGCCCGGCATCCAACGTCACATGACCTATAAATCGCGAAAGGTCTTCAGTCTCACGGAGGCCTCTTGTGTTACAGGCAGTTTGGGTGACGGCCCTGGCCCCCTACATCGTCCTGTTCATCCTGCTCGTGAGGGGCTGCATGCTACCAGGGGCAACTGAGGGGATCCAGTATTACCTCACGCCACAGTGGCACAAACTTAAGGAATCCAAAGTACGTCCACAGCGAATAAAGAAACTCGATCAGACCACGTGGAAATGCACCACTGAGACCCGTCTTGTCTGTTTTATAAGACAATTTCAAGCTTTAAACAAACGAGAGTGAAGAAAAAGTTGAGAGAGCTAAGAGTCACTACATTTAACGAAGGCGGTAGGGTAGAGGTAAATTTATGGCTATGAAGGTTCCCAGGCACTGCCCGTTCGTCCTACAAGTTAAGAAAAAATAGAACAGATGGAAAGAATCATTCTTTGTTAAATTTTAACTGGATTTTTAAACTAATGCAATAAATATGAAGGGATGAGTACATTGAAATCACAACCGGTACTGCATTTAAGACAATCTTAAGATAACTTCCCGCAGAAACAGAGAAAGTCAAAATTAGGTCCAGATTTAAATATATTTCAACTCTGAAATAAACAAAGATAACGGATAAGATACGAGAAAGGTGATATTGGCGCAAACTTAAAATTTGTTTTTTTTTTAAATTTAAATTCTTTATAAGTGTTCATTATCTACAGTCTTGTTTATTTCAGAGTTATAATTTCTTTAAATCAGGACATAATCACGATTCATCATGTATAAACTTCACCATTAATATTAAAAAGTACAACGAAAACGTCTCAGTTCTTGTCTTGTTTCCGATACAAGGGTTGAAATTATTCCTTAAACCGTTTCGTCGGACGCCCTTGCTAAATTCTGCCCCTTGGTTTATAACGATGAAAAAAGGTTCGGGACTCGGGTTTCATTTATTTATTTCGACAGTTTTCTTTTGACACTGTGCTCATAATTGTCATTGTATTTGTTGCTGTTTTGTCTTAGATCTTGACAGTTTTTATTGTAAAATGTAATGGAAATAACCACGATCCTCCGATGTAGGTATGGACAGATGCAGCATCCCAAATCTTTTTCTCTCTGGGTCCAGGGTTCGGAACCCTTCTGGCTTTGTCAAGTTATAACAAATTCAACAATAATTGCTACAGGTAAGTAAAACTTTATATAGTTATTTGCAGCGTAACGTATGATAGGAGTAAGTGTTACGTCAGTGTTAGGCTCGTGACTTGTGTTTAAAACTGTTAGTAAAATCCAGTGAAAATTTTAGCAACACACATCACAAGTGTTAGCCAGGTTAACACAGTTAACAGGAACGCTCCTCTCCTGATTCGCACATTTACTAGTTTTGAATGATCGCAATTACAATTACCGTAAGTGTTATGGATTGTATTCACTCAAACTATTTTCTATAGATGATACAGTTGCGTCATATTGTGATAAATATATATTTGTTTTAAATCTTGTCAGTCAAATCACAATAAAATTCCTATTAAATATTAAAATATTACTATAATTAACATTTAAATATTTAAAATGATGTTCTCTATCGAAATGTTCGATTTACATTAGAACAACACTTTTTACACGACATGTTTCAGTTCTAAAAGAACCATCTTCAGGTGTATAAAATTATATAAACTTAAATATAATTTCTTAAATGCAACTTTTTGTCAGATGTTTATCAGATTTTGTCTGGAAGAAAACATCATTTGAAATCTGATAAACATCTGACAAAAAGTTGCATTTAAGAAATTATATTTAAGTTTATATAATTTTCTATAGATTGATGTTAATATCCACCTTATAAAAGCAGCATGCATCGGTATCCAGAAGCTCGCTAATTTCCAGCTTAGAAAGCTCTTTATAAGTTCGAATCTGAGAGTCTTCACGTATTCTTAGTTACGTACATTCGACATATATAAAAATATATATATATATATAAATACCTCTGATAATTATCGACTGTAGGATTCTGAGTTTTGACGTCGTGGATACTAACGTTATGGAAAAACGTTTAACCTAAATCTGCGGGGTAGAATCCTCTCCTATCACGTGTTGTGACCCACTGTTTGACGACTCTAAATAATATCATGATGTTTTTTAATAGCATGCCTTTATCGGAGTTTCTTTTTTCTAAAGTAATACCTGGCAATAGTTTATCTACATATATATGTGACTGCACTGTACAAATTTAATTTATAATATATACAGGATGATTCAAAAGATTAGTGCCAAACTGAAGGCGCGTATAGAGGGACTCACAGAGAACAACTTTCGAATAGGAATCCATGTCCTCCGAAGTTATCCTGAGTCAGTCGAGGTCATTGAAGATAGGGAAGTCTGATAACATACCGCTGAAATAATCGTACTTTGCTATTTTGAATCACCCTGTATAATGGACATTCCTGGTGTTTTCTATTGGGCTAGACCATCTATTCGTATCTGAATGTCATTCACACCGCTATAAAGTATGTTCTGACCCGCAGAGACGCCATTATCACAAGCAGTATAAACTGTCTCACGAGCTTCCTCGCTGGATTCGTCATATTTTCTGTGCTCGGCTACATGGCCCACGTACAGCGCAAGACTGTCCAGGAAGTGGGCCTCGAAGGTAAGCACCGGTCACTCCAACACAAAACAAATTAATTTACCGCAGTAATTCATTCGACGACGATGTCCGTAGCTCAGACTACAGGCTATGGCGTCGGATGATTATAAAATGGAAAATTATATGGAAGTGGTCGTGGCCTAATTTAAGGTACCGCGCTAGCATTTCCCAGGAGAGATAACCAGTCTTCGGGCAGATATGTGAACCCGGTATCACCAGAATACGAAGAACTTTACCGCGATTTCACTCAAATTACATAAATATCATCATCACCACACAAATTGCATGGCCCAAAATACTTTAGAAGCTGATATTCGCTCAGCTGGTAAAATAATACACGAATTTTATGGCACCTGAAATTGCATTGCCATGTTAAAAAGAGCCCACCACTGGTAACTATCGTAAACTAGATGAATCCATTCCACAAAATTGTATCCCACTTCTTTGAGATACAGAGTGATTCACTTCTGAATTTTCTTGAACATTTTAATACTCCAATTTATTCCCAGATTTCATCCCTTCAGCTTTCCGACCTATGACATTTTAAAACATACGTCTTACATAAAACAACTGCAAGTCGGAACGTACAGTGCCCTGTAAGTCCTTAATAAGTGTTACTTGTACTTACAGTGTTCAGTACAGAGAATGTCTTTTTACAGGACCTGGTCTGGTGTTCATTGTGTATCCAGAGGCGATAGCCACAATGGCTGGCTCAGTCTTTTGGTCCATCATCTTCTTCCTCATGCTCATCACACTGGGTAAGTTCATATTTTCTTACTAACATAATAAATAGTAATCAAACTAATGTATAATTCTCACACTGCTTATTATTCGGTTGATCAGATAAGAAACAAAACTATTACGAAACGTCCCTCCCTCTCCATTTAAATTTTACGATTGCTTGTCTGTGTGTAAATATTTCTGCTAATATTCTCCATCTGCTTCAAGGTCTAGACAGCACATTTGGTGGTCTGGAAGCTATGATAACGGCGCTCTGTGACGAGTATCCGAGGCTCCTAGGGAGACACAGAGAGATCTTTGTAGCGGTATTGCTTATCGGCATCTACATTTGCGCTCTGCCTACTACTACTTACGTAAGTAACGCCATCTACAAACAGCCGTAAGAACTTTAACGTCTGAAACAGTTGATCGAGGGAGAAATTGCTACCAATAAGTTCATAATCTTTTGTCTTCCCGTCTAAAAACTAAAAAAAAGGAAGATTCAAACATTAAAAGATGTCTATTTGAACTGTTCTTTTTACATATGTATTAAACTTCGTCTCTCGCTCTAAGTGACGGATTAGATTTAGCGAATTTGAACAGGATCTGAACACAATGTCTGTACATACGAGGACGTAAGAGAAGGATGGAGAACTAAACTTTAAAATTTAAAATTTGTATTCTTGTTAATTACGACTATTAGTTGAAAAAATGGCAATCAGATGAGTTGGGAATATAAGAAGCGTGGAAGAGGTTATAAATGCACAAAAATTTGGTCATAAAACGTGAAGAGAATATACTATTTGGAAGACCTAAGCGTAAAAAGTAAGGTAAAATTGTGGGTATTGGATTAATATGGTACAGGACAAGGACTAGCAGCGGATTCTTGTAAACCCGGCAACACAACACTTCACCATTATAAAGATCAACTGGTTCACCCTTTAAAGTCGAAGCTCGTCTAAATAATATTTACGAATCCAGTCCGTACCGCAAAGAAAACACGACACTTCACCATTACAAAGATCAACTGGTTCACCCTTTAAAGTCGAAGCTCGTCTAAATAATATTTACGAATCCAGTCCGTACCGCAAAGAAAACACGACACTTCACCATTACAAAGATCAACTGGTTCACCCTTTAAAGTCGAAGCTCGTCTAAATAATATTTACGAATCCAGTCCGTACCGCAAAGAAAACACAGCACTTTACCATTAAAAATATCAACTGGTTAACGCCGTTTAAGGAAATATTCACTGTTATTCTAAGAATCCTATAAAAACATAAACACACTCCGCAGGAAAAATGCAAATTTACCGAATTCTGATGTAGGAACAACTGGTTACCAATGTTCTTTGCTTTTTTTTCCTGTGTTTAAATTCGTTCTTTATTCTGAGACATGGCTGATAATTGAGATAACGTATTAGTGCGGAGACTTTAATTAATTCTTTTTCACGTGATTTTCAGGTACACACGTAATATGGTCAGTGCAATTTAGCTTGAAGTATAAGAAATAACCATGAATCAAACTAAAGCCATCAAAGAACGAATACGAAAAAAAAAAACCCACAGCCATACAGCCATTGCGAAAGGGCGGAAAAATGAGAACGCATTTACAGAAGTATAAAAACCAAAGGTGGCTGAATTTCAGCCACGAATCCCAAGAGAGAAAAACAATGCGTATGATAATGGCTGAAGCATTACCAAAACCAAATAATCCGGGCCAGTGCACGGCTAAGTGCTAGAAAGAGGCAGGGGAAAAGAGAAATGACCCTGATTGAATAATTCTATCCTTTTATCTCATTGTTGTTACCGAGCGTCTTCGCCCCTTTATCACTAGTACATGAATGTTCCATGAGAGCGCGCATCACTCTGCTGGCAGGTTCGTTGTGCAAGCCTCACTCCACCGCAAGACAGACGCCTCGACTCCTTTTAACCGCGCTAAAAGGATTCCAATGTTATTCTGAGATCAAACAGAGTCAATTTAATTCAGCAATCAGACTGCAGCCAATCAATTTGCTCTGCTACTGAGGTTTCGCAGAAATAGGTGATGTCCGCGTAGAAGCCAACTTTTGTTCCGTTAATTCTGTTTACAAACCCAACACGGCCGCCCGAAAGCTTCTTTTCTGCGTCAAACCCCATCTTTTTTCGTCTCGATAAACTTGGTTTCATTACTCGTTCATGTTACAATGTTGAATGGGACGGAATTGAAATCCTTGGGAGCTGACCACCCGTTGTGCTGGCTGCAGTACGCCCCTGCTCGACGGATCGCTATTTCAAATTAAAAATCAAGAATGTATTCTACCGCCTGATTTCTGCGCAGTTTCAAATTAAATTTTTTTTAGTCTTCGTTAATTGAAAATGTTTATATAGCTATTGAAATTATTATACCCTAAGAATTACGGGCGTCATAAGTTCGTGCTACACTGTTAAATGTGGTTCGTTTACAAGGCAAATATTTGCCTGCTCTATTCACACACAGCAATGAAAAAGGTCCCTGCTGCTTCTTTAAATAAACAGCCTGGGTATATCAATTTGCTACTCTCGTATCTGAACATTCAAAAATGCTTATTTATTCTAGTCTCAATGGATAAATCTTTATGCGTATTGAATAAAAGTCAACAGAATTTAATGACCAAGAAATATCTACACGGTGTGTACATTTCATAAGTTTAAATTTTGGAAATTTTTATTCGTTAGTGGTATGATCAATTGTTTTTGTCGTGGTTCGTTCATGGTTCAGTTATGGAAAATAATTAAGTAAAATATGAAAAGTTAAAAATTCATTCCGGTTCGCAGCGATACTTCGATATTAATGCGGAAGTAATATTTAATAATTCAGTCCGTACCGCAAAGAAAACACAGCATTTAACCATTACAATGACAAATTGGTTAATGCTGTTTAAGAAAATAATCTCTTTTTACACTGATGTTCGTATGAAACCGATAAATACTGTAAAAGGTGGTACACATAGTTACCACTGAGCTTCTTTTATGGTTACGAATGTGCGAAGCTGTTAACTTCAGTTGCCAGCACGACTTCGCGAGTTTCTATATTTAGTAACTCTGGCGTTGATTTAGGAAAAATCAAATACATGGACCACTAAAAAGATATCATGTAAGTGACTATAGTTCATTATTTATAATTTGAGTATGTTTAATATCAGAATTAAAATTCACCGACTAAATCGTATTTAACAAAATTACATCCAGTTTCACTGTGTACCAGGCGCGAGACATCGATCGGTTCAAATCATTCAGACAAGGGCTGGGAGAACATTGAGCCAACAGATTACCTCATAAGGTAGTTTTAGCCCACAGAATGTCGCTATCTTGCCCATATACGTACGCTTTATTGCTACCGACTTTGTGATACAAGATACATAAAAGTGCTCGTTTAAACTTTAAACGTATATTAGATACGATCACTATATCGAAAACCAATTGCGGATACAAGATACACGGCTATATTAAATTTAAATCTAATACATGTATGTAGCTATTCAATATACCTTGGGGGCAGCAAGAGAGAAATAGTGGTGAAAGATACCTAACCTTCCACAAGAAAATTACCGTTAAATATCTTGAAGAGGATTAATTTCATCCCGTCGTGAAGGGTCTGTGAAAAACACGGTTTTGAAATGTTCGAACTCTTAGATAACGGATTCCAATCCTGCATGTACAGTATGGACATTTGGGGGCTGTGCCGGCAGCCGTGTCATTCCGCTATGCGTGATCGCTGCGTCGGTTGCCGCTATTATCAGTCCTAGCGGCACAGTCGCCAAGTATCCTTGCTGTGTATCTGGCCACGTATCGTTTCAGCTGTCTTCAGTTGTTTTACGTAAGTCTGACGGTGATATCTTCCATCCAAGGAGACATAACAATTGACGTAATATAATTACAACTTATACCTCTATAAAATCTTGTTTTAGGGCGGAGTGTACCTGGTGAACCTTCTGAACGTGTACGGCCCGGGAATCTCCATTCTGTTCGTGGTTTTTGTCGAAGCGGCCGGTGTATGTTGGTTCTACGGCGTTGACCGTTTCTCGCATGACATTGAGAAGATGATCGGTCACCCACCAGGAATATTCTGGCGGGTCTGCTGGACTTACATCAGCCCGGTCTTCCTCCTGGTAAGTCACAGCTTGAGGCTTCAGCAAGTCACCAACCATTATAGGACTATTATTTTGTCCATATAATAAACAAGTGTTGGATGGTTGCTTTGTTTGTTGGTTGGTTGGTGATCATTTGCTGTTAAGGGAGTTGCCATGGAAATGCAGTTAAGGGATTTGGGGCGTAATGAGATAATATTTATGAATTTGCGTGCTATAATCTTATCGTGGTAATGTTAATAAGGTGTTATGAGACTTTTATGCTAACATCCATGACTGTCCGTTTATTATTTCATATTATCCTGTCCTCGACGGGAATTTTTTAGTTACATAACGCACGAAAACACAAAAATATTTGACCGAAATTGTATTTTTTATTTTGAATCAAGTGATTTTATACTTTTAAGATATCGGATCCCAAACAGACTATTTGTCACTAATCTCCTACTTAAATTTTTCACACTGCATTCTTCATATCCTTTCAGAAGTGGTTTTTCCGTTCTTTGTCATGAACTTCCCAATCGTTTTTCCTCTCTTACAGGTGATATTCATCTTTTCTCTCCTTGGTAACGAAGAGATGTTGCAAGGGGAGTATAAATATCCTGCATGGACCATCATGGTGGGGTGGATCCTGACATCATCCTCCTTGCTCTGCATCCCTCTCTACATAGTCTACAAGTTTATTATCACACCAGGCAACTTCATCCAGGTACTGCAGTCGAACACAGATGAACTGTCCGTCCGTCTATGTATAACAACTTTTCAGCCGATGAACGCATTTTCACGAAATTTGATACTGGGGAGTTTAACTGAACTTTGTATAAATATTCTAATTTTTACCAAAATCGTACTTTATAAAGGGAACTTCACATAAATACCTGCATGCGTGTGTGATGCTGTGTAACCTTTTGGTTGTAGGATTTGATGTTTTCCCAGCGGTGTAGTCTGGTTTAGGTTTACCGACGTTTCAGAGGTCCTTGCTGCCTCTATCACTCATAACCCTGATGATAGAGGCAGCAAGGACCCCTGAAACGTAGATAAACCTCTACCAGACTATAGTCCGCGACTGTAATCTTGAGACTTGAGGGCTGAGGAAGTGGAGTGAAGGAGGAAACGCTTCGGACTTCCTAGATATTATCCTTATTAATTAGTTATGTATCTTTTGCAGCGTGTGACAAAAATAATCAAGCCGGAAGATGTGTCTGAGGAGAATCGCGTAAATGTGAACCTTACGTACGGCACTGGAACTCACGTCTGACTTGTTCGCAACAGTGAAGAGTCCGAGGTTAGACTGGACGTGCTGTGCAGCTGGGGAGGAACAGAGTGGCTCGTCTAGGCCCCGGAGGACGAGCGTCTCCTTCGCAATACAAATGCAACAAAAAACGCCAAGTATCATGACATAACAGTGTAATATTCAGTCTGTACAGTAAGTCGGCCCAAACTTAATCAAGCGTCACTTTCACCTCTCGGAATCGACCGGCATGAGAACAGGCGAACTAACCGGCCGGCCGTCAAGTCATACTTTACTTTATTCTTTTGTTGTTTTTTTTAAATTTTTTGTTGAATGAAGATTAATTTTGGCTACCCTTTTCTTCATATCGTGAACACGAATTAACAGACGCATAAAAAATGTTTTAAAACACAAACCAATGGCATTTATATTTCACAGTATCAGGGACTGTCCTGTTATTTTAACGTCCGGTCCTGTTTTCACAGGTTTCAAGTTTTCTTCAGGTGTCAAAATGAAGCTGTCACTGTATTATTATAATAGAAGAATTTCTATTACAGTGTAACTATTTTCCATAAATTTATAACCATTACTACTGAAACGCTGTTAAATAATTTTCGACTTAATAGGATAATATTTACGATACGCTTAATATAGTTGTCATGGTAACTGCTGGGAGATGCTTGGACACGTGGTTTACAATGCTGATCGCAAAACCACTGTTTCCCACGTCTGGCTAACAACTGTGATGACCCACAGTTACTTTAAAAATATGTAATTCTCAACAGTTATTGTTATAAAACGTGGAAATTATTATTTAAATTTATTAGCCTATTTAAAGGCAAAAATTTTATCTGTTCCCACTTTAATGTCATTTTAAAAAAAAAGAGCATTTGTTTTCAGGGCCCCCGACAGTTCCATTTTATAAACAATACAGCTAAGTCACTAATGAAAATGAATTAATAAGGCCCCCTACCTCCTGCAGTAGATTTACAGAATTACAGAAATGATGGAAAAAATTTTATTCATGGGACGGATGAGTCTGTTTTGAAGTGAGCATGAGATAGGAATCACACGACAAAAACCATCTGTTGCTAACCGCAGATACGAACACCGTTTTTCAAATCCGAAACCTCATAAAATATTAGGGTTGAATTAAATGTTTCTTCACTACATACAAAAACATGTAAGCCAAGTAAAATAAACCGTGAAATATAACGGGGTCCCAAACAGACTCACCGAAATGATAGCGTGGAAGGTAGAGAACTGATTTCGGATGCCATTACAGTCCTAAGCCCGCCAAATATATATATATATATATATATATATATATATATATACACACACACACACACACACAAATACAGAAGGTTCTCCACTGTACAGAATTTAGTGGCCAGGCAACTTACTGATTGGCTGAATATTGCACTGCACTATGAATTTGTTAACTACACAACAATAACTTAGAAGTTGTCCGAGACATCTGGATAATATTGGCATTAAGAGACACAAGATTATAGATATCTCCCATGAAATTGTTACAGAATTAAATACGTTGTAACTTAATAATTTTTTATTCGTACTAAAGTCCCTACTACACAAAACATCATCTAAATAGTTGTTCCAACAAATCAGGATTTATCTAGTACTTCAAAGAAACGTTTTGAGACTCCAAGCTCAATAACGTCAAGATCCGCGTGATTTTTAATGACACTATTTAATTAAATGCAAGAGTAGATATTAAAATATGCCACGACAGAATTTCTGCAATGCTCTTTATATATATATACAGTTTCGATAATTTTATTCATTTCTACGTAGTTTATTTATATCATAAACCGTCGTTAAATAATTTCATAATGAATGTAACTTCCATATTCGTAACTTCAATGAAAATAAACGCTAATTATAGAATTAAACAATGCGCTGAATCAACTCCCTAGTATAATATAGACTTTTTATGAATAATTTACCAAATCAAATGGAATATTTATAAGAATAACGAAACTTTTGCACCCCCAAAAAATAGATAATTCAACACTGCAGTTAATAAAATTCAATAATTCCATCAACACTGAGAACTGAATGCAATAATGTCAGATATTTCAATCCGACTTCAATTATTACTGTGTTGTTATCGTAATGAATTCTATACAACATAATCTAGATTAAAATATGATGTTGTGACGTAGAAATATTATACGTTCTTCTTATGAATAGATCTTAATTGTTACTGTAGCCAATAACATGTCTGTAAAACTAAGTGATGCATTTGCTGTCTTTCATTAACATGAAGATTTACAATGAACAAACTATAAACGTACGATATATAACTAAAAATGTTTTCTGTATAGTATAATTAGTAATTAAAACTGGTCTGATAAATTACTATATTAGTGTTCATATTATTAAATGTGGAGAATAATGACATTTAATTTGATATTGATAACTGCTCATCCAACTGTATTAATTTCCGAATTTGCATTATTTCCAATGAAATGTGAGTTCTAAACAACATAACCATAAAACAATATTCTGTAGTGTGTGGCAGAAACGTTATTATTAAACAAAGCTAAATTCTTACAAATTATTGCTAGCCGTATTTGCATGTCGTTTACAAACTATATAAATATAATATTTAGAAACTAAGGAAATATTAGAATAGTTATTATCATACATTTAAGAAACAGCGGATAAAACGGGAATTACATGTATCTTATACAGGGTGTTTCCTAAACAGCGCAACCGTGAAGCGAACTTGTGCGTTATGGGTCGGTCCTGCTTGACGGTAGGAACGCCCGAGTGCGCGCTCATGAAAAACGCGTATTAACGCTCACAAAAGAAAATCTTCAGCGATTCAAAATTGGGTGTTTCAGTGCGAATATAGTTTATATGATGGATTAATGTGTACTGTTTGCCCGTGACGTTTTTAATAACATAACGCTGTACTGCACTAAACGGATTAATGTGTACTGTTTAATAACATAACGCTGTACTGCACTAGTTACTTCTTCATATTTTAAATGTAAACGACGCTATAAATTATTTTTTCGTGCTATAAAGTTAAGGGATGTAAAATATATATATACTTGGTATTCATCTACACATTACATTTTGATGGAAAAATATACTTCTGTAGTGATGTACTTACAGACACCAACTTTAACTACCCACAGCAGCCCGAAACGTCTATTTTAAGGTGCATCAAAGACAGAGTAACATCGAGGTTACCAGCAGAAAATGTGTTCCTTACAAGAAAGGCAAAGTGCAAGAGTCAACATTTCAAAACTTGAAAAATACTATTTTCTGTTATATGATATTGTGTATAATCACTGCCCGAAAGCTGTGCTTATTACAGACTGGCCCATAAGCCTAAATGTTAATTTTATTCGTATCTTAAATAACCACAGGGTTATAATTAAACTAAAGTCCAAAAAATGTTGTATGTATATGTTAAAATCAGTGTTTTAGTGGAATTAAAGTTTGTAAACTACGTTTATTAAGCACATAAAGTCAGGGTACTGCAGTAAGATAATTCAGAATAATTGCATAATGTACTTGTTGCATCTCAAAATCGTATAATGACCAGAAATTTGATTTCCACCTTTAAACCTATTGACAAAGCCCGAAAACTCAGTCCTGAGAGACAGCACACGTCAGTTTTTTTAATTATTATATATATATTTTTTAGACTGTCCTTGGATGTGATCACGGAAACGTGCGAACAGTAATAATATATAAAATTTCCAAACTACCTTCTCTATTAAGTTTGCCACGCTTTCAATATCTCCGCTGAATAAAGAACATTTCAGCACCCTGACTTATTCAATTTATGCTGAAAACAATCAATGTACATAGAACCAGCAGCAACACGTTAATTAGACGCAATGAGGTCTTCTCAGGCGATCAGCCTTGACAGTATGAAACGTGTTTTCAAAGTTTCGGAAACTGTCTCTGCTTCCATCATCAGGAAGTACGTAAAAGGTGAGTTCAAATAACTTTACCACCAACGGTCGGTCGGTCTGTACGTCTTGGTTTCGAGCCAATTTTGAAAACAAATTTTAAATCTTTAATACGAACATACAGGTCGAGGTTTGTTCCTTAAGTCTGCTACAAATAATTCCAAACACAATTAAAATTATACATATGAGCCCATACAATACGTACGCCTCTGTCAATCTAGGTTTTGTAAATCATAAGTCTAAAATTAAGACATAATTCGGACCCAAAGAATAAGTGCATATATGGTAAAGCAGAGATTATACGTAACTTTACTTATTATACGTAAGAATAATTTAATTACTTTCCTAAAAACATCCTACAAGTTCTTCGTTTAGGATTTTTCTTCTGTTGAATGTGCATGAAGTTGGGTTTCAAGAACAGTCCCTGATGATGGAGGTACAGACAGCCTTCGAATCGAATTCACTACATCCTGACACAGCTTATATAGTCTGTATAAATTCTTCATTGTATTCAGTCGCCGTTAAAGCTTCAAACTTTATAAAAATTAATTAGACGCTTTAGGCGTGTGTAGATAGGCAATAATAGTTATAATCATGCATAAATCCGTATAGTGCATTTTTAGTAAAAAAAATAATAGAATATTTCAGCACGTTTACTGGCTTAAGTACTAGCTTACATTGTTGTGATTATTTCCCAATCTATTAAACAACTGCAGCTTTCGGCGACAGTCAATTGTCCAGCTGCTTGTCCGTTCACTACCTCAATGCATTGTTGTAACTTGTAACTACTTCGTTTCTACGATTATAGAAGGATATAAGATGTGTTCGACTATAAATGTCCAGTAACCTCAAGATTACAGAAATTATTATTCCTTTCTTTATTTACAAAGTCACGTCGCTTTCTGTGATAACAATAGCTCGTCGTGTTCAGTTCAAATCTTAGAAATTGTTGTTAAGATTTATATGTATATCTCCTTCTGTTAGAGCACATTTCCTCAACTGCGTTGCAATCTTTGATAATTCTTTGCTCTTTTACGCGTTAAAACCGCTATGAGATCTTAGGGTAAAGCATATATAAAGGACCAACAAGGTAGGGTAATCGATTTCGCGGAAACGTTTAGTTTTTTTTTTTCTAGTACAGACATACTCGATATCATAATCCACATTATTTATCATAATTGTATTAAACAAACAACGATATCATGTTTAATTGGAAGTTCATTTCGTGATATTTCGAAAAGAACAGATTATTAGATTATCAACTACTTGTAATTAAAAAAATGTTTGTATAAACTTTAAGAAGGATCAAATCTTTTATATAACTCGCTTAAAATGTTTAATATAAGTTTCCAACTATACAATCAAAGTTAAGGACATCAATATTTCAGTGAATGTAATAAACATCACACACTAATTTTATATTTATTCATATAACATGGAGTCAAATGCTTTGTATAATGCATTCTAATAATCTGTGTAGAGTTTGATCTTGACGTATGATTCAATATCATATGTCAAACCTATAAATATATGTGTAGTTACTAAGCTATTAAACGTAAATTCATAATTGTGTCGATTTGGTGTTTACAATTTCAGCCTGACAACGTAAATCTATTAAAGGCCAGACATATAAAATATAAATTCGTGTTAAAATAATATAAAATTAAAAATTGAACGTTTACATTAGCTGGGATAAATAATTGTAATAATATGCGCGAATATGTTTTTCTGATATAATGATTACAATTTTTCACAGTGAAATGGCAACATTGTAGATATTTAGTCAGAAAAACCGCGGTCAATATTACCTACATTTCGTGTTCCAGATGACATGAAATATTAACTGCTAAGGATAATGAAATATTGTGTAGACCTTTGTTTCGATTGGCTAGCATCTACAAACATGAAATGTGCTTCGTCATCTTAATCCTGGATCCATGGATTGTATTTATCACACAAGAATTAAAAGGATAATATTAATTCTGTAATCCATGCGCAATCAGCATTTGTGTATATAAGAAATTGACAAATTATTACAGCCTATGTGTTAAAAAATCTATGTACGAGTATACAGCTGTTTCTCGTGTTGCCACTTCTGCAAGTTATAAATTAGATTTAAAATGTCTGTAACCTGTGTTGTTATGTCCTATAAATTTTACATTATCATTCTGTTAGCATTAGACCGGATACAAGCAACTTCTATATTTTTTAACTATTCCATACACAATCAATGATGCAGTTCCGTATGATTCTCGTTGTAAACAGCGATTACTTCCTTAAACAGCGTTAACCAGTTGATCTTTGTAATGGTGAAGTGTTGTGTTTTCTTCGCGGTACGGACTGAATCTTTAAATATTATTTAGATGCCTACTCAGAGTACGTATGGGTTTCATATAATTCTAATTATACACAGCGATTACTTCCTTAAACAGCGTTAACCAGTTGATCTTCTTAATGGTGAAGTGTTGTGTTTACTTCGCGGTACGGACTGAGTCCTTAAATATTATTTAGACGAGCTTTGGCTTTAAAGGGTTGAATTAAATTGCTTTTATTTGCCCCTGAAACACAATCATATTCCTCTTTATTACCACAAGATCAAAATTCTTTAGAAAAAAAATTTCGATGTGTTTAATTAAAAGTGAAGCCTTTGTACCTTTCTTAAATTATAATATGTAACACGCAAAAAAAATGTTAAAAGTACACACAAACGTGTAAAATATGAATTGTGACATAGTCCAAACTGGCACGAATCGATATAATATGAAGCATGTTACACATCAAAATATGTGTGGATGATGCAAAATTCGAATTTGTTTGGTGAAAAATAATGTAGCAACTTTTTTTTTTACGAGAATTATTCACAGTTACACTTGCACGCATACAGACCGACAAAAAAATATTATTTTGCTGTGAAATTTTGAAAATTGTACCTTAGGACGAATGTTTAAATGTGTGTCTGTTAGACGTTCCAACAATATGTGTAATCTGTACGTTGTGATAAACGTGTTTGTATTTGTACGTGGAAAACGTTACTAATCTTAAGTTTGGTGACATATGACAATTAGTATAGTATAACATATAGAATAGCCATTAGGGTTAACGCTTTAATAAATTTCTGTGTTGTACAATAATACATCTAGAAGTTAACGATGATGTAACAACATGTTTGTGCGTAATATTTCCCCATGTTCATATCGATACCACCATAACGATTATCGATATCAAATACTGTGCCTGCCGTGATCCATTATCCTCAGCCAGAGATGGACCACGGACCTTTATTGTTAATGTATGTTGGATAACAAATAGGTTTATGACAAAGCATGGATGTTCCTTATAGATACTGCATATAATTTCCGATGAAATATTACTTAGTTGTAAAAATTATTATAATTATATGCCGAATAGGATAGCACAAATGAAAAATAAAGTCTTGTGTTTATAAAAATTTTACTGTGGAATTTGTGCCCTAGTAAAATAACGTACCTATTCAAGAAACGTTCTCGCATAAATGTTTTACAGAATCCGAAAACAGCGTTATAAAATATAAAGTATGCTTCTGTAGTATTATTCAACCTTTGTAATACATAAATTACGAAAGCACACACTTCAGCAGCGACTTGCCAAAGCCGTGTTCACAACCTCCACACACCAAACGCTACTAAAATTCTGAACTCCCTGTACGTATAATAGTGACGTTAAGGAGGCTACGATCGGCATAGACGGAAGGATAATATTAAAACTGATCTTAAAAAATATATAATCAGTGCGCACTGGATTCATCATGTCCCATTACAGGGACAAGTGACGGGCTTTTGCGAACATGATGACGAACTAAGATGGCTGTCTTCTGGGTTGTAGCGCCGTGTAGTTAGGCTACAACCCAGACGACAGCCATGAGGACCTCAAATCCTACGATGACGAACCTTCGAGTCCCATAAAAGACCATCAATGCGCGCTACATGCCCCGCCCATCTCATTCTTCTCGACTTAATCACCCTGACAATATTGGGGGAGGAGTACAGATTTTTAAGTTTGTCATTATGTAGTTTTCTCCATGCCCCATCGTCTTCTCTCCTAGGCCTAAATATCCTCCTCAAACGCCTGCAATCTGTGTTCCTCTCTCAGAGTGAGAGACCATGTTTCGCACCCATACAAAACAACATCAGAATATACTTAAAACTTTAAAAAAAAATTTAACTCCTTAAATATCTCAAAATTTCAAAAATTTATTACAATTCGTAATTTAAACAAGGTTTAACACAATAATTAATCAGGCTCTTCAGAGCAGCGTATTTATAACACGCTCAAAATCTCCTTTGCTCATAAAACATAACATCACGAGGAAAGCGCACGGAGACTGGAAACCACTTCCCTTGTTATTTCAAACGCCTATAGCCGTTACCAAGGAGACGCTGGCGTCGCTGCCGCAATGCACCTTGGGTATATACCTGCTAGGCGTCGTGGCCGTCGTCATTTACGTAAGGCTCGTTGATCGTTAAGGCAGTCAGTCATTCATTCGACTAACAAAACAGCTGTTCCAAGGAGGGAAGGAAGAACACTGTTCGTGTGCGTGGGACAGGTACGTAGACGAGCTGAAAATTTCTTCTAAAAGTGAATTAAATTATATCTGCCTTCACAAAACTTCTCCCTAGATTCCTTTCCAGAAATATCTTGGAATATAAGTACATCCAGAGTGTTCTTGTGACGTAATCAATCTTTTACCGTGACAATTTGATACTGACAAAGAATTATTTTAAATATGACAACGTATCACGTTGTCTTTTACCAAAGCTACGACAATGTTTAATGATCTGTGTATTAAAAACGTGTGGTTATTTGTTTATAATTATCACATTACTATTGCTTTGAGGATAAGTGCATAAGTGATACAAAATGGCTGTGCGTGGGTGTTATATAAAGCTCGAAAAACGTAAACCGTAGTCTCACGTTCAAACCTGTTATCATTCTACAACATACTTCAGGTAACAGCGATTTAAAATATAGAACACATATAAATAATGAAAGTTTCTAGGCGTAAAAACAGCCTAATCCTTGTTATGGTCTACGTTTCGTTCTACTGTGTCCGTTGTCAGGGAGAAATACGTTCTGAAGACTAAGTACCTCTGACTTCGTCTTGAGGAAATATAAAAGGGTAGAATCTATGTGGCCTCTCCCGCCCCCTGAATACGGAGCCTCGGAAACGTCATAGGCCTACACATTTCTAGAAAATACTAACAAAATGACACTAGACAGCAACACAACGCTCTGAGACCACATTTCACAATAAAAATTTTTGGTTTCATAAAAGCCAGGGAATGTTTCACTAGATGAGTGATTATAAGCTTCTCACGAAAAATTCTGCTCCAGAGAGTCAGTCAGTTTTTTAGGATATCCGTCAATGTAAAAAAAAAAAACTAAGTCTCACATATATGGGCTTACAAGACAACAGAAAAAATTATTAGTTCCAGATATTTTCATATTTCCATTTCTACATTCATTCTGTGTCAAGTTATCATATTAAAATCTCTATTCACACTTTAACAGAGCTGCTTACAGAACAGAGTTTGAAACGCTAAACTACATTATATACGTTATCTACGTAGAACAGTCAACATTTGCGTGTTTCTATGCTGTAAGCCCAGAGTTTCTTTCATAACATTCGCCTTTCATATGGTAATGCTTTCAAGAATTCATAAGATACATATGCATAACATGAATATTTATCACAAGGCTCATTCACCTTCCATTGAAGCCCGAAAATTTAAGCATGTAACATTAGCACGTATCACTAACAGCACTAAAGCTTGTACAAAAGCTTTAAACATGTTGAAATTTTACGAGGGGATTTATAAATAGAAACTGCCACTTTTAAATATTCAGAAGACGCAAATGCAAGTTTACAGATTGGACTATTAACATCAATGAAACACAGCATTACGAACAGAACAATTAAATTTAAGTCATTTATGATTCTATTTGATTTGCTAATTCTGATAATGATGGCCAGCAGCTCATGGAAAAATATTAATAACAATATATGTAACTGGTTTTCCACAAATTTTCCTGGTTCTATGTGTAAATTAATTGGTCACAGTGGAGCCATCTAATGCACTAGTGATAAACTACCAACTTCTGTCAAGCTATTTTAAAAGTACGAAAAATAACTAGACCCATTCATTCATAACGCTACTAAGAACTTCATCTCATCCTTAATATGTAATAAATACAGATATCGACATAAAATGCATCTCAAATAATGTTACAGAGCCAAAATTTCCTCAGAAGAGATGAAAGATAAACCACCCTCATCAAATACGTCAGCATTATCAACAACTCAGCAAGTGATTCGGCAAAGAAAGAAACCCCACATGCTGCCACCTCTTGAGAAAAGGAGGAACTCTGTGAGTAGCTTTATATTGCTTTTAATGTATGGAACGAAAAGTTTAAGTCAAATCCAGGAATAAATAAACACACTTATCCACTTGCCTTTCTGAAGAAACGCTGATAATTTTACGATTGAAACAATACGTCATTAAACGCTGTTTGTAATTAATCGTTTATCATATATGTCCTTAGACATACAGCACACACAGGGAAATGAGAAGTGCATACAAAATTGTAATTGAAAATCATGAAGGGTTTGAGACTACTCAGAAAACCTACTTGTAGATAGGAGGATAATATTAAAATGCATCTCAGAAAATAACATGGGAGGATGTAAATTGGATTAACTTTGATTAGGGTACGGACTAATGGCACGCTCTTGTGAACACAGTAATACAATTTGGGTTCTGTAAAATATGAAAAAAAATTTGATTAGCTGAGCAACTATCTGTTTCTTAAGAAGTGTGGAGTTAGTTAGTATATATGCAATTATAATCTCCAATCAGTTTTTTCTAACCTCAAATAGCAGATAAAGGAGCAGAGGTGGTAATAAGTCCTCTTATAAATGATTATAAGAATCTGAATTTAGAAGGAATGGTTTTCACAGGTTGACTGTCGAGCAGAAGTTGGTAGTCCCACTCCAAAATGGCGACGCCCTAGCCTGGAGGAACAACTAATCTTGGAAGAGCCCCCAGTTGATGGCCGCCCAGTCATCAGGCTGACGCGATGCCCTGACGTTACTAGCCCATTACCTGTAGCCCCAACAATACATATTGCAAGTCGCTACACACCACTTGAACCAATAAAACGCAGGAATAGCAAACAAACTTGAATGAAGATCAAGAATTTGTACACGCAAATCCAAAATATTATCCATTATCATTTCATTAATCATCGTTACTTAATATTTTGTGCAGAGCTGCAGTATATAGTGTTGCATGACAGAAGGAAGTTTTATATTTAAAATATTGCTCACATGTCCTACTGCTGTGCAACATGACTGACTGAACAATTCATGCCTGCCAACTTCAAAGCACATCCTTTATAGAAACTGAACCACCACTGGTATTTATTCTGTGGGTCACATATTATCGAACGTTACCAATAGATAAGAATCAAATTCGTAAATGTTTCTAGAATTAGAGGAATTATTTTTTTACATGCTTGTAATTGGCTGTTCCCAGTTAGATGCAATATTTCCATTTATCAATGTTTGGTTACATGTTTAAGAGTCCAAATATAATACCGAGCTTCTAATATGTATTTAATAAACTCATATTTGACATCAAGAGTCCAGGTTTGCATGCCTAGTTATGAGGTCTGAGCTTCACAATGTTTATTCACTGCCCAAGAAAATTATGCAACCATCACAATTATAATTATTTTATTAAATATGTTTATGATCTCTTTAATGAACTACATCCCAGTCTAAGAACAGTATTCCGAGAAACAGCATACTGGATACTGGGGATACTGGGAATGACCTGTTCAAGTGCCTGAGCACTGCGGATCCCAACTTTTCATTGGCTTGATCTATAGACATTTTGGTAGGACTCCTTGGACGAGGGATCGGCTCTAGCTGTACACAGGACAGCACAACACAGAGAAACGCGGACAAACATCCATGGCTTGAGTGGGATTCGAACTCATGGTCCCAGCGACCAAGCGGCACTAGGCCCGCGCCTCAGACCGCGTGGCCACTGCAGACTCCGAAACAGCATAGATTATCTATTTTATAAAAAATGTCATTAATTTTGTGGCTTACCAACATTAAACGGTAGACCTGGAAAGCTATTTCTATGTATGGCCAGAATGATTTTATAAGTGTACACATCTTTAAAAATAGTTAAAATTCTAAAACTGAATTCATTTAAAATTCTTTACATGTAATTTTCTCAAAAAGGGGTCTCGCTAATCTATCTTGCCCAAAGCCTTGGGGTTAGTTACACCATATCAATATATCCCATTCAGTAATTGGTACATATTTCACATTATCATGACATAGCTACATTTCTGTGTGCAGAATTATTCCTTTTTCAATCTGATAAACCAGGCAGTAATTCAAAGATGACATAATGGCTAATTTTCAATGGGTCCTCTCAACAATTCCAACACTGTACACGAAACGTGTATAATCCATTCATATGTGCACACATGTAGGTTTGAAATTGTATCACATTAACTAAACATCAAACATATAAGCATTTATAAAAAGTTAGTATACAGATGTGAATATTTTAAAGTGTAGTATGTACTGTAATCTGTTTAGCATTTTTGGCACAAATCCAAAAATATCAAATTTCATAGAAACATGTTCAGTATTTTTTTTAGATGAAACATGCAAAAGAACAGTTGCAAATCCATGCGTAACTTTCGATAAAACAATCCTTAAACCTGCGTTCACTCGACAACTTTGTCCTTCTGATGTCATGAAACTTCCCTATCAAATAAAGCACACCACTCAGAGTCAATCAGTAAACTCTAAATTACCTACAAAAACGTTGCTACTTCCACACACACACACACACACATATATAGTAGCAACGCTAGTGTTGAATTACAATCGGACAACAAACTGGTCATACAGAAGAATAATTGAGTCAGCTGAAACAAATTCCTAACTTCATCGATTGAATTCAACGACCTAGATTTTAAAAGAAAGACAGAACTATTTAAATATCTATAATCTTAATGAAGAAACAAAAAATAAATTGGTATAAACATATTTTAAGAATAGATTAAAAGATAAGGGTATGGGAATACCAAAGAAAAAATAAAAAGCTAAATTCAGCTGAATTCAGAAGAGGCCAAAGGACATAACATTGAAACAGTTGAAGATGAAAAAGAATAAATTTGTTTAAAACGTGCCCAATATAAAAATGGTAGGTATTTTTATAGATCACCTTACAAAAGATTAAACTCTTTATTCTAAAACAACTTTCAATGGCAGAAGGCAAAGTCTTTTGAACTTGACACAATTTCTGAGATCTCTCCGTCAGCTTGCCACCATATTTAAAAGGAGTCTAAGCAGAACATGAAGAATGTTAAAATATAAGATTGAGAAGAATAACACTTCTCGCATATGTGTACTGTTTAATGTAATATAAACTGTGGAATAAAAATAATAATTTTTATAATTTCATTCATTTTAAGTGCCCCACTTTCCCTCCTTTCAATACATTTCTTTCACTCGTAACTTGCTGCCGATCTTCAAGAAAAATGTCTTCTAATTAGAATACTAGAAGTACTGAATATCTGAATACTAAATAGAAAATACCTGTCTTCATTAACATTATGTTATTTAAGGATAGAACTATCACATCCAAAAATTTAAAATTGTTGTTCTGTTATGACGCACTATGCTGCTTGTTCCACGTAATGGCCAATCAAATGTTACCATTTGTGTACAATCTTTCACAAAAGTGCACTTAAGGCTCTTCTAATAAATTCCAATAATAATCTGGATACAATTTCACCAATATACTCATTAATAAAAGATTTCTAAACATAAAGAATGAGGCCACATATAAGTTTAGTTTGCATAATTCCACACAGAATTTTTAGAACTAAAGTTAATATTTTCTAAACTTAAATATCATGGACATACAGCACACACTTTACGTAACAACACTAACTCAGCTCCAGTATCATAAAACTGTCGCTGGAATATAATTCACCAACATCAGCAATGTGGTCCAATTATGGCCTTCAATCTCGTTTGTTAGTACAAAACAATGAGAACTGTATAAATTTAATTAAACAATTAATTTTATTATGTCATTATAGCTGTAATTTAGTAAGCAAATGGTTCATCACACTGAAAATCACCAATTACAAGAAATGCTCATACGTGGCCCCTATTAAGTGTAGCCTGCTGTTCATGAGAAAATCAACGTACAAAATATATGAACATGGAAGATGTGTGATTTACCCCACATAACTATGTAATTTATATTTGTATTTGAAACAAGTATTATATTTGTGCTATGACACGTTCTACATCCTTTGCTTGGGCCTATGAAGGATCTATGGAATATAAATAAATTCTATTCTATTCTACATAAAATTGGGCAAACTGGCAGTAAACACTCTACATAAAAAGTGTAATATGTAAGGTACATGATAAGAAACATTTTAAAATACAGTTAAACTAAATATTGCAGATTATTAATGAGAACAGTTGTTCATCCAAAACCCTTTCTTGTATTCAATGAACAGACAGGCTGATTCTGTTAGGAATATACATGTCACTGACCTTTGATGAGAGTCATCATCTTAATGCATTCAAACTCCAAGATGTCTGGAAACAAGGCTGGAAATAATGTTCCGAAAGTCTTGTCACAGCACTTTAAATATCTTCAAGTGAAGGAGGCTTTTAGTTTCCGGTAAATAACACAGGGCTACAGTGAATGTTGCAGCAATGACTTTTTTCACACAAAAATGGCTCCAACGAAACTACTGTTTGAAAGCACACATTATTAAGACGCAAAAATTGTCCGATCAAGGTTTGAGATACTGGCACTTCAACATATATGAGGGTTTAAGAACTTAAATACAGATTTTCATGATGGCTGTACAGAACGTCAAACTCGTAGTGGATAATTTCTCCGCTATCATAAAATTAAATCAACGTGCATTTCATCTTTCACCTTGAGATTCGAGTTTTCCACCACCTCACAGTCTGGAGGCATGTCCACTGCCGAATTTGGAGTTTTGTTTCTGGTCGTAGTGAAAGATCCAAGTTCAAATCCAGTCACTATTTTCTCCTAAGTTCCCGATTCTTGAAAAGATCTCGCTGAAAGGTGTGATCAACTTTCTATTTTCCACTCTTTTTCCCGGTACCAAGAATTTACAGTAGGTCCATCATTTTAGCGCGGAATTTCATATTCAAACCTTTGATAACTTTACTTATAACCTTTGCCTTAGAATTGTCAATTGACGATTACTATTCACAGAAAACGGTAACTTTTTCTCAGTTGTGTTATAAACAATTCTCAGTTATTATAAATACATGTAAGCAATAGTGGTTTAAACTTTCTTGTGTAATTATTTCTGCGGCAATACTGTAGTTGACTATAAATTACCGTCTGAACTGTATAATTTATATTTGTATTTGTGCTGTAACATGTTTTACATCCTTGGCTTGGGTCTACGAAGGTTCTGTGGAATACAAATAAATTATATTCTATTCGAAAGCGAAACTAATGACTCATATATATCAGACTCTGTGGTCACAGGACAAAAATGTTATTGGTTCATTTATAAATATGCAAGATTGTGGTTAGATCAGAATAAAGCTGCTCAGAAGCCAATGAACGTGACATGTTTTTTCTTCATTAAGTTTTAGAAAACTGTCAGTTAATGTGTTCTTGCAAGCTCTTTTATGTTTGTAAATATGAGTCAAAGACTATAAAAAATGTTTTTTTACACATGGGCATATAACAAAGATAACATTTTGAACGTCTCTGTTTTAACAAAGTTAGCATCAATAATTTACCTCAAAATGCTGTTCCTTCTGTAAATTACGTATATCCAGAATAAAAGAAATATTAACCCAGTATGGGATTTTTATCCCACAGACATGTGTTGCATGGCATAAAAATTTAATTTTATATATATTATTTTGATACAGGAATGAAATGGTCATACTTATACTTTAAAAATGCCTTTGTTACACCCACAGTTCAATTACCTTCACTTGCATTACCACTTTGAACCTTACTTCTGGTTAAGATAAATTAAAAACTTAAAGATATTGGACAATACATTACTTCTCATTTTTGTTCATACTTTCTTATTTCTCCTATACAGCTTGTAATGTTGGGCAAAATTTGTTAGATTTCACAAAATTAATAAATATAACATATAAAAACTCACATGCTCTCTTGGGTTTTAATCCAAGCAGAGACTGACACAAACATCCACATGCATCACACATAACCTATCTTCTCTCTCTTCTTATGATCACAGTTTTGTGTGGGTTTAATCCAGTATTTCATTTCAAGCATAAAGCAAAGACACAAATTAAAATACACCTAAATACTTATTATTTCTTAGCATATAAGATGTGTGGAAGATTTTTTTATTTGATACAGTTTTGTTGAATCTTTTTGTAAATATGAGTAATTTGAAGTATGCAATATAAGTAATTTTCTAGCATCAGGATACACTACACTTAAATGGTCTAGCAAACGTTGATAAGAAGATATATCAACTGTAAAAGACATACATTATTAAATAAGACACTACAGAATGATTATGAATTGTAAAGGATTATGAAAGGAAGTGATAATGGCATATTTAAAAGTGGTGTTGTGGACATAATGAAGAAAACAAGATTTAAGTGTAATTAGTTCAGGATGATATCCACATTTATGTATACAGGTTATACGTATCTTAGGTTAACAATTAGTAGAAGCTATACCGCCTCTCCCTCCAAGCACCTACATGGCATATATGTTTTTTGTCAAAGCTGTCATTCAAGGTTACATGTTTGGTGAGACAGTAAGTGGGCAGTTGTGATTCAAGAGCTGAAAAATGGTTACATAACAAAATTAACTTAAAATGCTGATGGGAAAATTATTGACTATTTAGATTTATGAATACTGTCATTTGGCCTTAAGAAACATTTTCTGAATTTGAGTCCTCCTAAACTTGTTCTCTATTTTATGAAGGCAAACAGAACAAGACAGACATGTGATCCCTGTACAACTTTTGAATAAGCACTGCAATTACCATTAAACTCCATGGGGAAATCAGACGACGTGTCACCCCAGCACCACACTTTCTAAATCCAAGACAAGAGCATTTTGAAATGGCTAGACAGAGGGGATGGCCTCCAGATATGGAGATACTGAATAAATAGTCAAGGACAGCTGATAACAGCTGATCATCTAGCTCCACGGTTGGGTGAGCGCTAACTAATCCTCAGTCCAGCATGTTACGTAGCATCTCAGACTTGGATGGGTTCTTTGGAGTGACCTAAAGATGGCCAGAAGGATAATAAAAAAATTAAATTGGGTGTCATGATGTGGACTTGATTTATATGACAAAGGACAGAGATGAGTGATGGGCTCTTGTGAACACGGTAATAGAACCTCCAGGTTCCATGAAAGGTGAACATAACTTCGAGATTCTCAAGGACTCTGCTTGACAGGGTTAGTTTGTAAACCTCAATATTTACATTTTCATTCAAACCTAAGAACAAAGAGAACGAGATAACCTGACATTTCTGGTGGAGGGAAGCATTACAACAACCTTTATACCAGCATTTCAATATAGTGATGAATGGAATCCTTAAATTCAAAATTCCAAGATACTGTCCATCACTATAACTTCCTACAAATTATTTTAATCTTGTAAATAATTAACATGAACCCAAAACCACGCAGCTCATCAAAACTTCTGCCAACATGGTTCAGCGTATCAAAGTTACCAACCTCGGTTACTAAATGCACATTTTATATATCACTTCTGGTTTCTATATAAAACAATTTTCACGTAAGGCCGATTAAACTTTTACAGGCTCCCACACATTAAACTATTTCCACTGATGTAGTACCATAGTCCGAATAAATGCAAAAATGATTCAGTTTATACAGTAGCACCTTTGATAAATACAGAATAACAAACAAGAGGAGCCAAAAAAAAATTAAATAAAATATGTATATGCTGGACAATACAGAATTCATATACATATATAAAACTCTTAATAAATAACAAATGATTAAACACATTTATAAAAAAAGAAGATGGCAGTCTTCTGGGATGTAGTCTGGTAGAAGTTTACCACTGTTTCAGCGGTCTTTGCTGCCTCTATCACTGGGGCAATAAGTAACCCATGCATGAGAAATTGGTCCTATGTGTCAAACCAATTCCTCATGCACTGCTTACTCATTGCCTCTGAAACGGAGAATTGTACTAGACTACATAACACTACAACTCAGAAGACAGCCATCATCATACTCACCACCATGAGAACCTCAAATCCTACTAAATTTCTCAAAATATGAACATAATTCACAGTAAACATAAATTTTAAATGGAATCAAAACAAGGAGAAAATCTGCTGGCATAGTCTACTCCACACAATATAAATAATATATCTGAATTATATTGATGTCACAACTCCACTTCTACAACAGCGGTTACCCTGATCACACTGACCTTGAAAACTGACATAAGTAACATGTCCCATTTTTTCTGTTCCTCCTACACAAGCAGTGCTCATAATCTTTAACTGATTAAGCCTGCAGTGTGGATCAAATTTTCTTTAACATTTCTTAAGTACACTCCAAGCAAAAAACCACAGTATGAATCTGTATCATCTATCCTGCATAAAAATACATATTAAACTGGTTACATTTTATCATACTTTAGAAACAAACATAGCTTCCACAAATTCCAACTTAAAATTATTATAAAAAATATAATGACTGAAGATTAACATACTGCGACAGTCATATGAACAATGTCTAGTATTAAGTCACATAAATTTTGCAGATACATATGCCAGTAATAAATATTTTAGTTTCACAATGCGTATCAGACACGGAACTTTCATTATTAATGCTGAAGGAACCGATTTAACGTTAAAGCACTTCAAAATCACTTCCTTGCTACTCATCTATATAACTACATAATCAAACGACAGCACAAAAAAAATCATAAAAACAACAGTCACCTTGTGTCATATTACGGGCAGTATCAATAAAATCTAGATATTGTTAACGCTTATACTAATTATATAAATATTTGTACCGCATATAACTGCACGAGACTGAATAACAACTTTGCATCTTGCTTCTTATAACAGAGATGTGAAAATGTAATCATTGATATTTTAATGAATCAAACAAATACTAAAAATCAAGTTCCAAGTGAAACATGAGATATGCCGATCACGAAGTGAACTCAATAGTGAAGAAGTCCTAGCTCTCAGCACACATTAAAAGATTTTTATTTACTAGTTCTTAAATGACATCTATGCCTGAAGTATGATTATTAATAACCATATTATCATATAATGAAGGTTACTGAGCCAATTATAATAAAATAATGGTCCATATAACATTTGTACACAGAAATTGAAAAATATTATGTTTAATATTTTTTCAGAATAATGTTCAGGTTTATTTTAACTCAAGTGTGGCACAAACTTCTGAGCATCTTGCATATCCCTGACTTTCAGCATAACAGTGTACATAAAACATAAAAAGCCAGTTCAGAACTAGGAGTTATTCTGAATAACAGGACTTCCCTCTGAATTTACATTTTCAACTTCATGATCAGAATGAAACCAACTAATCATATTTGTTTTGTAACCTCAATCAAAGCCTCGGACAGACGGACCTAATAGAGGACCGAATGGAAGAGGAGAATTCAGGAGGCCATGGACCGAATACGGACCGGACAGCCATAGAAGAAGAATCATATTTGTATTACTCAAAATACACTTCAAAGAGAAAATGTTTCTCTTGGATCAATATACAATCACATATCTAACCCTGTATCATTAACTTCTGACCATTCCTCTCATGAGATTGTTAATTACAAATTAAACAAAATAGATTCTGCAAAATGCACAGATTTCAGATGAGTGCTATACTGAAAGTTACAATACTATCATCACCATTTCACTTCTTTTATCACACAGTCTGATGAAAAAAACAGACCCCAGTGCTAACGTACAGTGTAACATAAACGGTTTTAACTGTGCATTTTATAAAACTCCTCCCTGCACCTAGCGAATATAATGGATAATCCATGACTTCTCCCGTGGCCACTTATGCAGGGTCAAACAAGTCCCTGTATCCAGCAGCTGAACTGTTATGTTTATAACATTTAGTTAACACACTGTTAACATTTCTACTGACAATCATTGCTACTACTGCTACTACTTCTATTACTACTAACTACTGCCCGTAATAACACTGGTGACCCAAAGTTCCAATGATCATGTACCAGAGGTATTCTGGAGGGAAGAAATACCCATTGCCAGCATCATCTGGCGGAAAACAGAGTCATCACAGTTCATCAAATTTTCTGGAGAATCAAACTCGATAACCTGGAAATTAAACAATAAATTATCGACCTGAATATAACAACAAAAAAGTATCAATGTAAATTAGAATATGCAGTGATGTAAATAAATGTAACATAAAAGCTTTAAAAAAAATGGAACCACAGCATTAGTGATTAGAAGTCTGGACTCCTATAAAAAATGTACTTGTTTACATTTGTTTTCACCCAAATGAACATAGACAAAAAGCTTCTATGTTGTGTTCCATTCAATTCTATTACCTCCCAAATTTTATTGGACCCTCCCACATGTAATGAGGAGAAATATATTCTTGGCTTCATAATTTCATCGACTGACAACCCTCTTAAAAATATAATAAGTTACGTAAGTTTTACAAGCACATTACCTTCCCCGAGTCCATAACCATGACACGGTCGTAAGCCGTGACGGTGTTAAGACGATGAGCTATGGTAAGTACAGTGCAGTGACTGAAGGCATCGCGGATTGTTTCCTGGATCAAGTAATCGGTCTCCACATCAACTGATGCTGTTGCTTCATCCAAAAGCAAGATCTTGTTCTTGCGAAGCAGTGCCCGGGCCAAACAAATAAGCTGTTTTTCTCCCACAGACAGATTCTCCCCATCTGCTTCCACAGGACAAAGCAGCTGCTTCTCTTCGCGGCTAATCTGTTATAATGACATGTATGCAAGCGCCAATTACTACTGTACTCCACAGACATGTTAAACTCTGAAAGAGGCTAACTGGGAGATTAACCTTTGTCCTCTGTGGATCACAGCTTACATGTGACCCAGCTGGACATGCATCAGTGTAGCATACCACTAAACACTGAAATTAATGTCTGATGGGCAGTCCGATAGTACACAGACTCTGGTGCCTTTCATTTATATAATAAAGGTTACAGGCCTTTCTAAAGTGCATTAATAAATATGTGGCGTAACAGCCCTCTTGAGAGCCAAAGCCGACTAGCTGGCTGCTGGCCTCACGTTCCCATGCCTAAGCAGAGGTGAACGATCATCCAACCAGATATAGGGCGACATGTGGTCAGCACGACGAACCCCCAGCCATTGCTAGTTTTCATGACCGGATTACGCTACCCATTGTAGCTCCCCAATTTCCTCACGATGCTGGGTAGGCACCGGTCCCATACACTGGTCGAAAATCTCATGAGAAATTTCTTTCCCCGAGTCTCATGCATTCCGTATCACCGGTCAGAAGCACGATGCCTCAGACCACGCGGGACCCTGAACTAATTGCCTGTTGATAATTAATTACCTTCTCCTTTAGGTGTGCTTTGTCCAAAGCTTCCCATATTTTATCATCAGTATGCTCGCCAAATGGGTCTACGTTATAGCGTATAGTCCCTTGAAAAAGAACAGGATCCTGCGGAATAATAGCCACAGCCGAGCGCAGATCATGTAACCCAATTTCTGAAATGTCGATGCCATCGATCAAGATACGTCCTCCTGCCAGTTCTGTTAGTCGGAGTAATGTCGTCACCAAAGATGATTTGCCTGCAACAACAAAGGATAATTTTTAAAATCTAATATCGTCCTTTTTATATTCTTTTATCCACAACAAAAACAATGCAGAATTGTCCATCTTCTGAGTTGTAGTGCCGTATAGTCTGATAGAAGTTTACCAACGAGTAGTTTAATCTGGTCAAAACACAAGACAGTTAACATGTTATACATTTTAATTTCAAATATAAGAAAGCTGTACTGAACCGAGTGGGGTAGAAATATTTTAAGAGGGTCTAAACACTCGCGATAAAATTATTATTGGTCAACGCACAATCTCTTACTGATAATACATTTTAACTAACAGTTAAGGAACATAACTGCACTGTTTACCTGCACCTGTACGACCAACCACTCCAATCTTCTCTCCTCCTTTGATAATTTCCGTCACTCCGTGTAATACAAGGGGAAGGTCTGGACGGTACCTCAACTGTACATTTTCCATTATTATCTGACCAGACCAAGGCCAATTGTCAGGTAGACTTCTTTTTTCAACCTTGGCAGCAGCCTCCTCAGGGAGGTCCTAGAAATTATAAAAATCTATTAGCACTTGGTTAACTGGAAGAAGCCGAGAGACAATTCAGATTAAACTAGAACGTGCCCATTCTTCCACCACACTTCCCGTCTCCAAATTTAGTATTTTAAAATTGAATGTACGGAAACCTGTGATACATATTACAGGTAAGAATAAAAACAGAATTGTAGTTTCAATATGGTAATGTCTGTATGTAACAATTTTTTCCTGCTGTTTTCACACATTCTCAGTTTTATAATATAACTTATAAACTTCAGAGCATAACAGGAACACAGGAATATAAAAATATCTTTCATGTTAGAAAATCCATACCTGTGTATATTCTAAGATTCTCTCTACAGAGGTGAATCTTGCTTGCATTTCCGACTTAAGCTGCATCACATACGGTACAAACGTGCTCACCTGCCGAACAAGATTTTAAAATTTTATACATCCTCATTTCAGTTTCTAAGTCTGAACTGTGAATATGGCACGTTCACCTAACCACCTGACACAAAAGCAAGAGTTCAATGCACAAATTCCACTCCTTTTCTTCCCAATAAGTAAAATAAAAAAAGAATAGATTTGGGACTGATGTTGTCTTCAAAAATTTAATTCTCCATAAAAAATTCTATGAAACTGACAACACTTAAAAAATGAATAGCTTGAAATATATTTCATCTATCAAGTATTAATACCCAAAAGGTGAATGATAAAGCAGTTTAATTCTATAAATGGAATTCATTACTTCAAAGAATTGAAGAACTTACAGCAAATACACAAGACAGAGCCAGACCACTCTGAGCAGCTGTAACTGAGTCACGCAGAAGTACAACCATAAGACCAGTCAATGTGACCATTACCACTGCAATCATATCCATACGAAATGTAAACCATCGGACTGAAGAACGGAAGATAAAGTCAGATGCTAGCGTTCGGTTGAGCCTCACACAGAACCTAAAACATCCACACATCAGATGCCTAATACTGAAAAAATTAAATTCACTGCATTTTAAAATAACAGAAGTATTAGGGTGATTTTAATTTTCAAAATTTCTTATAAAAAACTGTAGTAGTACCTTTCAAGGAATATCTTCTGTCGGCCAAATGTACGGATGACTGACAGACCTGCCATTGTCGATGATATATGATTCAGCACTGGTGATTTTAAGAGATTATCCAGTTTCTTTGTTTCGCGTAATCCCACATTCAACCACACATCCAGAAACATAAACAAACCTGAAAAATACACATACTTTTGACAGAAATTCTGTCATCCGTTAACAGAGGTAAACAGGTAGTTTGGACGGTAAAAGGAATAAAAGTTAAAATTAATAATGAGAACATTACAACTGAAGACAGACTATGAAAGATCATTAGGATAATCCAGTTATTCTTATAACAAGTGATTTGGAATGATGTCAATTATAACGGAAGATTTCTAGAAAAATAATGGGGCATTTCCGCTAAAATAAATAATACGGCAAGAAAGTAATTACAAACTGACCTGTTGCAATAATCATGGCAGCTGAGAAGACAGGGAAAATCACACAAATCAGCAACATCTGTGAGATAACAAACATCAGGCCCTGACACACAAACTCGAAGAAAAACGGGACTCTGACATCCACTGAAATCAAAACTCGATTAAAGTTAGCATCAATGTGGTCAATAAAACAACTGAATTAAATTTATCAAAACAAAAATATTTTTATGAATCTTTGGTTCAGAAAGTCTTCCAGCTACAGATCTTCGAACTGACGTTTTTTTTAAGGAAAACTGTCAATCAGAATTTAAAGATCACATATTCCCACTACTACAGCATCAAAAGAATATAACTACATAATATTTGAACTCACATTCATCCATATCCCTAGAAAACCTCTGTAATATTCTGCCTGGTGGAGTGACATCAAAGAAAGAAACAGGACACCGCATAACTTTACGGAACATCGTGTCATGGAGTCGAGACGAACCTGCAAAGGTTACAAGTATGTCGCTTTTCTCATAAACATTATGTTTATTGGATTTACTGTAAAAAACATATTTACATCATCACCTCATACTGGTAATTTCTAATCACAAAAATAAACAAAGAAATCTTCATACTCACCACTGTGAAAACCTCAAATCTTAAAAAGAAAATATGTCGCTACTCTACAACAAAATCAACGGTTTCTGTGTTTTATCATAATGAAAACAAGCCCTATTAGTTTAATTTCTGTTTATATGTAAAGCTTGTGTTACTCTACCTGAGACGTTTTTATCAGAACAACAGCATAAACTACCTTACAGTGGGGTCCAATACATTTTAACTTCATTAATGACTTAACGGCTGACCTTCTGACACTTCTACCCAGGTCTTGTTCACAATCTTCCTTGTCCATGAAAAACTCTAACAGGAGAACTGAAATGTCTGCCATTAACTGACTGAAATTGCAACCTTCAGTGGTAGCAATTATCATACCTAAGAGCAGCTGTCTGGCAATACCAATTCCTTTCATCAGACCAACGAACATCATGACAATAAAACCAAGTCCATACACTAGCTGATAGAACCACAGATCAGGGTTGTCATTTACATATCCTTTGAGTTCCTCCCCTGTCATGTTTGTTAAGTTGTAACAGGTGACGTTTTCTTTTCGTTCCACCTAAAACAACAAAACACACATTAAATAATTACAATATTATTAGCCATCTTCAAGTATTAATCAATATTATAAGCTCTGGTATTTCATTGCACGTCTATGTTTATTATTTTACTGTTTTGTTCCGTGCTCGAACATAACGCACCAAGTAGTAAATATATTACACAGCATGAAAGCTGAAATAAATTATATTCAAAATTCTTATTTAATTACAAATAATGTAAAATTTAATAACTAAGTGAAACTGGAAAGAAATTTTTTTAAAAAAATTAAAATTGTGTTAAACTGATAATTGCTTGTCGAAGGTGATAATTACTTCATCGCCATTTCATTTATTGAGTGTAACTTATTTTCTACTTACAGTCCATTTCAGAACTAACCTCTAAACCATCACCTTGGTCCAACCAGATCTGTAGCCAGACACCAGAAGCCAATCTTGACAAAGTGAACAACAGCACCAAAAGCAGAAGCATGCCCATGACAAAGTAGCCACCACAGAATTTTGCATAATCCATATAAGCCTTCCAACCTGTCTGAGTCATTGTGTGTGTTTCATCTGATGTTAACTTTCCAGCCAGTTCATTTCCTGCTATAATAATTCATATCATAAATTGAATAAAATATGATCAAGACAAAAAACAAAGTACTTGAAACGCATTATCTTCGGTATGCTAGTGAAAAAGACATACAATATTCCATCTACTTCATTTTATTTATGTGGGACACCCAGAGAAACATTTTTTCCCATATTCTTTGCACTTTTTATTAAACATCAGAATAAAAACTGGGATGTAACGTACACCTGATTCAGTCTCTTCTCGTTGACATAATGTTGTGAATATGTTAAATTAAGTTATGCCCCCTCTTTGCACATTTTACTATGTAAATGTCATATTACTTCAACCGAGCTACGAAGATAATAAAATACTTGGGATTTGCAAGCAGTTTCATCCAAACTATTAATAAAAAAATTATGAATTATGAAAACTTAATTTCAAGTTACAGTTTCTTTTAAAAACATAAAAAAAAAAATAGAACAAATTTAACTTACGTACTTTCAGAATGAATCACTTCACAATATTTTGCATTTACACATGCGGTGATACTGATACATGCTGTGAGGACAACCTAACAGAGGTCAGTACAGTACTGAAGAGCATATTCTGGGATCATACTGAAAACCCATTAATCTCACCCGTCCACAACTACACCAGAAATGTTACGCTACACATACACTATATCACAACTAACCTCCTTCTTCCATGTCAATAGTCTGTTCTGTTTCGTCCTCGCATGCAGACTTCTGGTCTCTTATCTGATCAAACTGTAACATTTGACAGTAATCTCCACCTTGAACTATCAATTCCTTATGTGCACCTCTTTCAGAGATCAATCCATCTTTCATATATAAAACTTCATCACATTGTTCAAGAAACTGTAAAATAAATATCAATATCCAACACACGTCATAACAACATTTTGAAAAGAACATAATTCATCAATGAAATAACAAATTAAGGTAGAATATAAAACATTCTCTGTATTTCCAAATGAAGTATAGTGAAATTCGACTCCACAAACTTTCATATGCGTCTTCTGGTCTGAATTTCACTTCAGCTGCGTTGTCAGAACACATGGTGAAAAGTTCAGATGTAAGTAAGAATAAAGTTGTTGTCAGAACACATGGCGGAAAGTTCAGATGTAAGTAAGAATAAAGTTTATTAGATTCTGAGAGTGACAGTAAAATTCAGTAGATAATTATAATTAAAATGCGTATTAGACACGGGACACCGAGACAGATGGCCATGTATTTCCTAAAACTCTGTATTGAAGGGTTATTCTTATTAATATTATAGTACATCCTAATCAACTACAATGAACACACAAACCTGCATGCCATGGGTAACCAACAGGATGGTCTTTCCTTTCAATTTACTCTTGATGCATCTGTTGAAAATACTACGAGCAACCTTGGCATCGACTGCACTCAGAGGGTCATCCAAGAGGTAGATATCTTTCTCAGCATATACTGCACGAGCAAGGTTAATTCTCTGCTTCTGCCCACCACTTTAAACCACAAACATATAAAATAAATAATTACATAATAAATTCTGTTAGCCTGACTATATGTCTATACAGACACGGACAACTCAAGAAAAGTACGGGTTACAAGTTCTTTACGAAACTTACTGTAAAAAAAATCAATGCCCTTTTTCAAAAAACATCATGTGCAGAAATTTGAATGACCAGGTAACATTTAATATCATAAAACAGTATTTAAATTTAAATGTTGTCAAATGAAGACTGAATGTAATAATATAATAAAAGAGTTTACCTAAGGTTGGAGCCACCTTCACTGATTTCAGTTTTATCGCCATTAATAAGTAGTTCCAGGTCTCTTTGCAAACAGCAGCACTCGACCACAGCTTGATATTTACTTTCATCAAATGGAAGTCCAAACAATATATTCTCTCTTACAGTGTCATTAAAGATCCAAGCTTGCTGAGATACAACTGCCATGCTTCCCATCACGTGCAGCTGGCCTGACGATACTATCATCTGGCGAAAATCAATATGCACAATGTCTCAATTTTCTGCGACAAGGCTTCTATAAATGGCAGTGGACACTCATTATTTAACTACATTTTAATGTACACTTAAGTTTGACTTCAAGTTAACATGGCAGCAAGTATGAAGATGATGAATGTCGTCCGTGATCAGGCATCTCGCAGAAATTGACCAGCATTTCAGAGGTGCTTACTGCAAGTGAAGTATAAGAATGTCTTTAAGGTATAGATAGGTATTTACCATTCACGTACAACGATGATTTTGCCTTGAAGAGTTCTAACCCATTTAAAGTATAAAGCTCATATACAGTAGCGTGTCCGAACTGCCGCAGTACACACAGGATCCCCTCACTATTACTACCTAAGGCAACAAGACGCTGTTGTAGCCTCCCCCCACTCTCTCAAATGTTTACCATGACAGTACTAACAGACTGCAAATAATACGTAAAAGTTTACTTCCTACGTTTTTAATAAAAAAAGAAACACTACTCTTCGCCATGACAATGATCAATTGGTTAACTTTGTTTAAAGAAATAACAGCTGTTTATTCTGAGCATCGTACAAAACTCATAAACACACACAGATACCACCATGCCTTAAACAGTTAAGTGATAACTTCGGAGCTCCATTCGACACTTACGTCTCCCATGACGGCCGACAGCAA